CATCTTAGTGATAACCCTAAAGAATAATTAATGGCAACTGGCTAATACTCCTGTAGCACTGACACTGATTTCAGTGAAAAATAGCTGCAGGTGGAAGAGAACTAGAATACATCCAAGTCCTCTTGGCAGCAGGTTACTTGCACTAAATGCTGAGACATAGAAATATCCCTCTGGATAGTGAAGACTGTACTCCATCCCCCCTTGCTGGCCCTGTAATAGGCACCTAAGGTCCAACCTTCATCTCTATTTGGTGTTGTCCTCTGCTCCAGGCACTGAGATGCAGTATGAGCAAGCTACTCAAGCAGATCCTGGGTCTCAAATAAATGACTGGTTGTTAAAAACCCTTCATGCCGCCCAATTTCTGCAGATGGGGGAGCTCAAATCTTGCCCTGAGCCCTACAGGCTTCCTGTAACTTAGCTCAGCAGCTGACAGCAGTGGAGAAGATGCAGCTGTAAATGGAAGAGGTCAGTTGAATGAGTGGATCTTATGCTGTAAAGACAGTACCGTGTTCAGTGGGGGCATGAAGTATGTTGGTATCTTTCTGCAAGCTCAGATGCTGAGCACTGTGCACTGCTGCAGGAATCATTATTGCCGTGCCCCTCTTTATGACACAAGGCAACACATTACATGTGCTTTAGATCCTGGCCACCCTGTCTCTGCTGCTGTCGGGAAGTTTCTAATGCTAATCAATGGGAGGTGCTCTCCATATTTACAGGAGGGGCTGAAGGAAGGGATAAAAACCCTTCTAACACTCCTGCTCCAAGAAGGACATGCCAAAGCACCAGCCCATAGCTCCAGCAACTGAGCGAAGAGCAAGATGTCCTGCCCAGCACTGCTGACTGGATAGTCCTCCTTTGTAGCATGGGCAGCCAAGGGAGGGGCAGCAGTAGGTCTGCATGTCACTTAATAACTTTATTATTATTATTAATAAAACACCCAGTGGATTTTTACTCCTAAAAAACAGGAGCTGTCACTTAAGTATAAGCCAAACAATGAGACCATCCAACGCTCACACCAGTGATGAACCCTGGCCCTGACTTCACCCTGTTGCCAGACCTCACGTGCCTCCTTGGTTGGCTGTACCATTTCTTTCCCTCTCCCAACAACCCAGTTTGACAGCCAGGGGTGGCAGGATGCATCTCTCGCTTGTGGTTCCCAGGGGAATGTGGCACTGAAAAGACATGTTTCAACAAAGACAAGATGGACACACACCTGAGAAGAAGTTATAGGTGAATAACAGTCAGCCAGCTGGCCCAGAGATGCTTCACAGCAGGCTGTCTCATCTCTGCTCATCTGAGCTCTGGGTGCCCTGGCACTACAGATTTACGCAGTGCAGCTGTGAGGGGAACTACCCCATAGCTCATACCTTTGTCCCCCGAATGCTTCACACAAACTATGAACAGAGCTGGCTTCCTCACCCCTGAAACACCAGTGTAAAGGGGGTTTGCATGCTGGAGTCAATGGGAGTGCTGGAGTCTTTCCATTGGCTTTGATGGGCTTTGGATTAGGCCCCTGAATGAGCATGTAGAAAGGGTGCCACCAGAATGCTAAAGAGGCAGGTACATTAATATGCATAAGCCCAGTCAAGCTAATGATTATTCAAGACCTTGGCCTCTAGCATTTTACTGTGCCTCGCATGTTGAGGGCAGCCCCCATGAAAGAGGGAGGGAGATGAGAAGGGAAGGAGCTTTTAATTCACCATCAGCTCCAGTGTCCCACGCATCCAGTGGGCCTTCTGCTCCAGGCCTGGTCTTTCAAGCTCTTGCTGCTCCCCAGGTGAGCAGTGACAGGCCACAAAGGGCTTAAGATTTCATTTAGATGCTGACAACAAGCAGGTTACAAGGAAATGCTGCTGTGGTTATTCCTCCTGCTGCCTCTGAGCTGTGGGCTGGAGCCTGGACATGGCAAAGGTACATTTTAACACCAACCAACACACAGAGGCCTGACCTGGGCCACACCTTTTGTAGTCTCTCTTACAGCCTCCTCCAGTGGCTAGAAACACCAAGTGCTTGAGAGCAGTGTGTAGAACAAAGAGTCTGTTTGGCACCACCTTAGGAAAGGACTGTTACTCTGAGGTCTGACTCAGCCATGGTCAGAGACAACTTCACCTCTAAAGTGCAGGCTCTTTCCAAACAGCAGAGACCTTGGGAATCTTGCCCCAAGCTGCCCAGCAGTTGTGGACCCCCTCCAGGAGCCACCTAGATGGCTTGTCATGCCACTGCATAAGCCTGGGTGATCTAGGGCAGCCAGGGAGGACTGCTCCTTCATGCCAGTTTTGCACCATCAAGCCCTGCAGTCTCAGTTCTGCAGAGAGCACTGTTGTGCTATATATAGTACTTCCTTTGCAGAGGCTGGGCAGGAGAAGGGGCTAGCTCTATGCTCTGCCTTCCCTCCTTTTTACCCTTTTTCTGCCCAGGGTCTCTAGGTGTAGGAACTGTAATACTTTAAGGAGGGGAAGTGGAATGCACAAACATTCTCTGGGCCATGCACACTGGTGCCATAAGACAAATTGCACCAGGATTTCCCTGGTTAATCATCTGCCACCTGAGCAAGCCTCACTTCAGTTGGTATCAGCCCAAGCGTGATCGATACCCTGCCTGGCATCTTGTTGGATTGTCATTCTCTCCACTGGACATCTGACAAAGGCAGTAATAGAGTTAATGCCCAGATAGTAACACCGGCTTCTAGTCATGGAGAGGTTTCCTTGTGATGCATGGGACCATACAAGGCTGGTCCAGCATAGGAGGGAAATACAGCAAAAGGGATGGGTCCTGATGACAGCTACTTCATATGGGAGCAGGTATTGGGAACAGAACACACCCAGCTTGCATGTCCCCGTCAGCCTACATTATGGGAGCTTCTCAAATATCCTTCCAAGAAAAGAAAAAGTCCAACATAAAAGAGGTGGCAATTTGAGCACTGGGTCCTATGAGTGGGGTCCAACAGCATTGTGCAAGTCAGGTTGCTCACAGGAGCCT